ATTGAGATGCATCAGGACATCCATATAAACTGAGCCTCCTAGATAGAGAGAATTTAACTGTGATTGAATGAGAAGTATAAATATATAAAACTCTGATAGTGTATTAGTTTGTACACAAACAAATCATGTCACACTCCAGCAGGACAGAATCATTCAAATAAAAGGACTGTACTTAAGAAGTATTTGTATTTCATGAATTATATTATTACATTTGGCCGCAGCCCTCAGATAGATTTCAATAATAATAATAATAACTTTATTTATAAAGCTCTTTCAACAAAGTGCTGAACAGTTAAAAAGGTAAAAATCAATATGAAAGAAGTTGTAAGAACACGTAAAACATTAGAAAAAAAGATGAAATACAAATGTAAAATTCAAGACATATCACTGCAAACACTGTCCATCTTACCAAGTTTTAAAACCTTATACAGCAAAAAAAAGTTTCATCTTGTTTTCAGACTGATTTACTAAAAAGAACTGATTGTGTAAGAATAATCATCTTGTTTTCAGAATGTGTAAGATTATTTGTCTTGTTAGTCTGAAATTTGACTCTAATTAAGTCAAACATTTCTGCCAGTGGAGTAAGAACATTTTACTTGGTAAGATTCTTGAAATACTTGATTTGAGTCAATTTTTTATTATTTCAAGAATCTTACCAAGTAAAATGTTCTTACTTCACTGGCAGAAATGTTTGACATAATTTGAGTCAAATGTTCAGACTAACAAGACAAATAATCTTACACATTCTGAAAACAAGATGATTATTCTTACACAACCAGTTCTTGTTTAGTAAATCAGTCTGAAAACAAGATCAAAAAGACTTTTTGGCTGATTTAAGGTTTAAAACTTGGTAAGATGGACAGTTTTTGCAGTGTATAAGACAGGTGGGTTTTTAGCTTAGCTTTAAAAGCTTCCACAGAACAGGCCAGCCTGATGTCTGCAGGGAGATCCTTCCACTATAAAGGGGCAGGAAAGAAAAAAGCACGACCTCTGATAGTTTTACATCTGACCTTAGGGATTACCAACAGACCAGTGCCCTGAGATCAGAGAGCACGGGATGGAATGTAAGGGTGGAGAAGGTCTGAAAGGGAGGGAGGCGCTAGGCCATGTGAGGCCTTACAGGTGAGAAACAACACGTAGAAACCTGCAGCCAGTGCAGAGGTGACAGCACCGCAGTGATATGATCGTATTTCCTTGTTTTAGTTAGGATACGAGCAGCTGCATTCTAAATCTGCAGGCCTTTAAAACTTCTCTTTGGAAGTCCAGAGAGAAGAGCGTTGCAGTAATCAATACGTGATAACACAAAAGCCTGGATGAGGACCTCTGCTTTTTCAAATCAGAGTAAGTGTCTGATCTTTGAAATATTCCTGGGATGATAGAAACCAGTCTTTGTTACCTCCTTTAGATGAGGGTCAAACAGCACACCCAAATTCTTGACCTTTTCCCTGCATCTGATGTTATGACCATCAATATTTAAACTAAGATTCTGGAACAGGTGGTGAAGTTTTGAAGGTCCAATAACCATAAAATCAGTCTTATCAGCTTTAAGGAGTAAGAAATTAGTTGATAACCTGAGACTATTAGGGGAAAAGGTTTGATACATGTATATAAACAGAAACAGCTGGACTAGTGCATCCTAAATTTAACATCCATTCATTCTTTTAATACAACAGTCATTTCTGCAGTTTTTGGGGAGGTCACCTGTGGGCTGCTGTTTGTAAAGTTACACAGTCAGAAATTACCTCCAATATTTTTGTTTTATTTAACCTTTTATAAGAAAAAAAAGAACAGATTTATTTTTCAAAGTCAGTTTTTCACCATATGATTCATAAATTTATAATGTCATAGTTCATAAACTAAATATTTAACTTACAAATTAAATATTTACTTAAGCTAAATATTTAACTTGTGACTTAAATATTTAGTTTTGAGCTAAATATTTAGTTTCAAGCTAAATATTTAGCTTGAAACTAATTATTTAAGTCACAAGTTAAATATTTAGCTTGTTAACTAAATATTTAATTTGTAAGTTAAATATTTAGTTTATAAACTATGACATTTATAAATGTATGAATCATATGGTGAAAAACTGACTTTGAAAAATAAATCTGTTCTTTTTTTTTCTTATAAAAGGCTAAATAAAACAAAAATATTGGTGGTAATTTTTGACTGTGTAACTTTACAAACGGCACCACATAGGTCACCTCCTAATAAATGTCCTTACAGAAAATCTAACTGCTCATTTTAAATCAATACTTTGACTTTTAATACTTAACTACAACAAATATCACATACTTTAAGACTTTTACTCAAGTAATATTCCTAAAGGAGACTTTAACTTTTACCAAAGTAAGTTTTATAAGATACTTGTACTTTTACTCAAGTAATATTCCTAAAGGAGACTTTAACTTTTACCAAAGTCAGTTTTTGGTAATACTGTACTTGTACTTTTACTCAAGTATCACTTTGTGGTACTTCATACAACACTGACGGTTTCTGCAGGACCTTTTGTTGTTTGATGTTGTTATTGTTTGTTGTTGTTGTTGTGGTACCTGCAGCAGAGAGGCTGGCAGCGTGGCCCTGGTCTGTCTTTGTGTAGTTCAGTTTGTTGGAGTGGATCAGGATCAGGTCTGTGGCTTCCTCACAGTGGAACTGAACCACGGAGCGTCCTGAAGGACAAACGATTAAAGGGTCTGTGACATGCTTATCCTTCAAATACAAAAAGTCAAATGTAACATTTTTATATTTAAGAAAATTAGCATAATACACATAATTTTACCCATTTTTTCTTCATAACTGGCATATTTTTTCTTGAACTTGGCTCAGAAAAGTGAAACAGGAAGTGACATCAAAGGGGAACTCTTTAAGAAAGAAACTCTCTTTGTTTATTGAAACAATCTTGTTTAAACTCTTCTTCAACTCTGATAGTGACTCAAAATAATCTAAAGAAGCATCAGATTCTTCTCTAACTGTTGTAGCATCACTCTGTTTGCATGCAGACATTCCCCTATGACATCACTTCCTGTTTCTTCACATGCAAATATCTCAACAACCATTCATCTCAATGGCGTGAAATTTGTTTTGCAATATGTTATCAAAGTTATCTTTCCAAAAATGCATTTACATTTGTTACAAAAATTTGATGTCACAGGCACTTTAAACAGCTGGTGAAATAACAACAAAGATCATAAACAACACAAACAACATCAACGTTTCTTCTGTCAGAGCTGACTTGTCAAACTTCAAATAAAACTGTTTGTTTGTTGTGAACCTGTGAACAGGTAGAGTCCAGAGTCTGGCTCGGGTCTGAGACGAGGCCTCAGGCTGATGTTATAAAACTCTGGGAGCAGAGCTGAAGGCAGACGGAAGCTGAAGGACACAAAAACACACAAACATCAGCAGATTTCTGATCTTTACCTCTGAATTTATTAGTTTTAGTTTAGAAAGTTGCTCATTAAATGTAAACATTTTGTTTTTTCATCCTGAATTCAGAAACAATCGGAATGAAAATGTTTTAAACTTCGGCTCCACAGAAGTTTGACTGACAGGAAGTCGGACATTTGATTCAAATTAACTCATAAAGCTGAAAACCTCTCAGGAGGTTCTCAAACATTTTAGTTCATTGTGGGCGGAGCTACACTTTAATCTGAAGATTTTATACTTCACATTCATTAAACCACTTTTAAAAGGTTTAATCAGGATCCTCCAACACATCCCAGCCTCACCTCCTCCTGCAGGACCTCCTCCTGAGCTCACTCACCTGTCCCAAGGAGCGGTGACGTCATCCCCTCCACTTCCTGTCAGAGCGATGGTCCACAGAGTGACGATGGTGGCCACAGAGAGCAGGGCCAGGACCACGCAGAGGACACACAGCCAGCTGACTCTGCAGCGCTTCTCCATCCTTTCTGGTTCTGATCCGAGTCTGAGAGAGAAGACCTGAACCAGCCTGAGCCTACAGAGAGGTGCCCCCCCCCCCCAGCCGTGTCCCTCTGAGCAGGAAATAGATGATTTATCAGCAGCTTTGTGTTGATAAGTTGATAATAAAACACAGAATATTGTTTTAGTGCGCAGAGCGTTCACACACTTCTTATCTCTAACAGGTCAAAGGTCAAACTGTTGAATCAACCTCTCTCTGGATCTTTTGGTTTAGAAAACACTTCCTGTTTCTATTTTCTGCTGTAAAATTACAGGAACTGATTGTTGTCGAGATCAGGGTTTCCGTCTTTTGCTCACCTTTGATCTCGCCCAGTTCTTTTGTCTGAAAACAGTTAAACTGAGAAAATCGCACTGGAAGTTAAAAATAGTTTGAAGTAAATTTATTACACATTTATTATTGAAACGAGACAACCACAACAATTTACATGAGCTGTCAGAGAAACAGCAGGAAAATCACCTGGAGACAGTTGAGTGTCCGTCAGCCCAGCCTGTCTGAATCTGTTTCTGTAGAACAAAGTTATTTTACCCAGTCGACGCCCACAGGTCTGCTCTGTTTTTCAAGGACAAGCTGCTGGATTCTTCATCACCTGATTTATGGGTTACTCCCCAACTGCAATGGAATGTTTTTATGCTTCCTCCTGACTTTTGTCTAAAACACTAAATGTAAAAAGATTAACAAGTAGTTTATGAACATTATTAATACTGACTTTTAATATTAATGTGAATTATTCATATTATTCTACAACTGAATAAAGCCTTTTGCACCGTCTCTGAGACAGAGCTTTAAAGGGTCAATATTATGTATTTCTCAGGCATATATTTAAATACTTATACCATAATAAAGTATCTTTGTCATCTTTAGTTATTAAAATGATATTTTTATGTTTAAAAAGAAAATAAACTTATCTTCTCATCACTTCCTCTTCTAAACACCTTGAAATTGACCTCTGTCTCTTTAAGAACCTCCTGTTTCTGTTC